AAATGCACTTGCAGAATTTATTACAGCACCCATAGGCGAGAAGAGCCAAATTCTCTGTAGCTATTGCTATGATCAAGATCCAGGGGCTTCCTGGAGGAGCCGTGATGCCACTGTTTTTTTTTTTTTTTTTTTGGGGGGGGGGGTACCAGGGATTGAACCCAGGGAAGCTATGCCACTCAGCCATATCCCAAACCCACACACCCCCACACACACATAAGGAAGGCTCTACCATGTGGCGTATTTTTACTTAGAGACAGGATCTTGCTGAGTTAATTAGGGCCTTGATAAGTTGCTGAGGCTGGCTTTGAACTTGCGATCCTCCCTCCTCAGCCTCTTGATTTGCTGGAATTACAGGCTTGAGCCCACGCCTGGACATGCCACTGGTTTTACTTTTCTTCCTTCCCTCCTTCCCTTCCTTCCCTTCCTCCCTCCCTTCTTTCTTTACTGCCAGTTTCTGGAACGGAACCCAGTGCCTCATTCATGCCTACTTTTCTTCATTTCTAGACGTGAGCTGGAAAAGGTATGAGCATGAAATTACCCAGCATGTCCGACAGGCTCAGGGGTGGTCAGCTGCTGCTTCAGCTGTAGAAATCTGAGCCTCTGTAGCTCCTGAGCAGAAAGAGGGCAGATGAGCCCCAAGGAAAACTTATAAAGTTCCATCAAAGGTGATAAGAGGTCAGTGTTTACGAAACAAGAGCAACTGTGTACATTTTCGATTGATATTCAATGGAAAAGTGAATCCCATCCAATATTTAATCAAAAAAGCTTGCAAGCAGTGGAGGGGAGCTCAGTGTGGAATGGCAAGGGAGCTCCGGGGACTAACCCCTTGAGGGACTGATGTAGTGATTCCGGTGCATTATCTGCACATCCTCTATAAACGTGCTGGGATTAAGGAAAAAAAAAAAAAAAAAAACAGAAGAAAACCAAACAAACTTGGTCCTGAAAGAGTAGGAGTTGAAGGTTGGGGCCAGCCCTGCAGAAGGGAATGTTCCTGATGAGTGAGTGGAATTTAAAACCAGGCCCTACCAGGTAAGGAGATGAGAGGGACAGGGAGGCTAGCGAGGACAGGCCCCAGCCCGCAGAATAGCTTTCTTTGTTGAGAGAATGTACCTGAGGCGAGCCACATTGCTCCTCCTCCCAATGAGAAGGGACTCAGGTTAAGTCCTTCCAGGTGCCCCAGTGTAATCAAACGTCCAACATTAATTCATAGACTCCCACTCGGGCTCAAAGCTTTGTCCAGGTTCTTTCACTGAGAAAAGAAAGAGATGAAATGGATGCTGCCCGCAGAGGGGCCAGACCCAGGCTACATGAACATGTTTTGATTCCTGAGACACAAAAATCATTTATTTTTGGTTCACTTCAGTATTTAAAGCAGCGCACATATAACACATTTTCATCCACATGAATAGTTCCCGATTGTTGGAGCAAATTAATCTTCTACAAGCCACTCAGCAGTGAGGTAAGAAGATAAACAGTAGGTGAAATTGTACACTTTCCCCTGTACGTGAACCTACTGTTGACAATCAACCCCTCCATTTGAGCTCTCCACATCCAGGGACAGCCACTTTCTCTGTTCATGTGGCGGCCCCAGCTGCCCCCTGCCATCTCTGCCCTGCGAAGGTCGTTCTCTGAACAACCACCTGGGTGGGGCATGCTGCCATTTTCAGTTTGGAAGGAAAAGCCTGTAAATCTGCTTCCTGGGAAGAGAGAGACATTGCTGAATTGTCATTTGCCTCCAGAATGCAGAAAACATCAATTTCATTGTAGCTCATCAGAGTTGGAAACACCTGCCACTTCCTGTCTCGGTTGCAATTAACGTGCTGCATCTCAGCATTGATTGATTCCAAGCAGCCTAACACTGCCAAAGTCAAGGTTTAAATGAAACAGTACAACCTGATATTATTTTTCACAGTTTTAGAAACACGGAGCTTATTTTTATTGCCAAAGAATCACTACAATAGTGGAGGATGTAAACCCCCCCCCCTTTTTTTTAGATAAATGTGTGTAGAATAGATTGGTGCTTACAAAAAAAAAAAATAGTTCTTTGTATTTGGGGGTGGTAGATATTTCCTGATCTTTGTATTTATTTGGAGGTGGAGAGGGGGATTAATATTCTTTTTGTATCTCTGCATTTAGCACAGGGCTGCAGAACCCCACAGGCATTCTTTCAGAGAATGTTAAATAAGTCAGTCAATAAATGAATGGTTTGGGAGTCCGAGGTGCAGCTCAGTCATAGAGCACTAGGCTAGTATGTGTCTGGCCTTGAGTTTGATTCCTAGCACCACAAAGAATTTTTAAAAATTAAAAATAAATAAATGAGTGTTTTGGAAGAGTATAACTAAAAACTGTATTCTTGATCCAACTTACATAAAATTCTGAGCTTATAACTATTGTAGAGTCTTTGGCTTAATTTAGAAGCTGTGGGAGATTGTGAAATATATCCTAAGGCTTGGGGCTTGACTGTTCAGCCTTCACATCTCCACCAGTGCTCTCTTATAGGGCGGTGAGTTCTGTGCATTTTCAAAATGACCCTGCTCATGTTACATTAAAGACACTGCCTTCACAATGTACAACACTTTACATTTTTAGGGTCTTAGAACATTCTCTATTGTGAGTAAGGAATGGAATCACTTTAAATAGTTCAACAGCCACAATAGTTGTGTCCTTTTGGAAACAGAATTGGAATGGAGAGAGGCAGCCTAAGTAGAAAACTGTTTGCTACGAGTTTTGTGTCTTAAACTGGGCCAGATAAGATTAAGCCATAAATCACAGAAAGTGGGAGTCTGTGGAAAAAAGTGAACAACTTGTGTTTCCATGATTGGACCAGGAACCACCTTTCCTAGCCCTCTTGGGAGAATCTTGCTTTAAGATGGAACTATAGCAAATTAAAATACTTAATTCTTTTGCATAACAACACATTTGGGTGTTCTCTGTTACATGGATGCAAGCATCAAATTGTACATTTTTAATCTAACTGGCAGAAAATACGGTATTTGAGTATTTCTACACATTCTAGAATGAAAACAGAAAGTATACATTTTTCTTAAAATGAGTAAACATTCCTGTGCATCCATATTCTTATCTCTAAATGCCTAATGGTTGAAAATATTATTGTGATGATCTCCTCATGCCTTTAATACTATACGACTCATTGCTCCAAATATCTGGGTTATTTGTATATTAAGTAGCTTATATACTAATAGGTCTTCTCCAAATTATAACACAAGAAAACCATAATTATGAGGAAGTTATATTATGTTTTAACTAAATATATAAATAAATACAATAGATAAATAGCCAGAGGTAATATAGTTTTGATAGGAATAGTATAGAAAGATACCTCCACATATTTCCTAATGATAGAATTCAATACACAAGAAGACCTGATTCTTAAAAAAAAAAAAAAAAAAAAAAAAAAAAAAAAAAAGGAGAAAGAAAAGAAAATAGAAAAAGAAAGGAAGGAAAGAAGAAGAAAGAACTACAGCATTTGGAATTTGGTTTACCATGGAAAAATTGCATTTAAATACCACCCAAAATGTTGGATGACTCAGGAAGTCTGTACACATTTCATTTATGGTTGTCAGCTGGCCAGATTGGTGTGCACAGACAGCAACTCAGACAGAAGTGGTTCGAGGGTCAGCTTATGTCGAGAAGAATCTGGTCTCAAGTCAGAGCCAACTATTGCAAAGCACCTTGCGTCTAGTGACACCTTAAACACTCCAGAAGCCAGTGGCTAGAAATATAACAGTTTCTCTGTCTTGTCAATAACAGTCTAAATCTTCAAAGAGTTCCATTGAGGGAAAAACAACCAAATATTTCATGACACATTACCATTTTAAACCTCCCCTTCTTTGGTTCCCATATGCACTGTCAAAATGCTCCAGGAATCCCAGCATTGTGGTGCATAAACCACCTACCAGCTTTTTTTGCATATTGAAAATGTTCTCTCTCTATATATATCCGTGACCCAATTTGGGATTGGATAAATGAAGTCACTGCCCTCAGCTCTACCTGGAAGTATCTGGAAGAGCTCTTGGGCAATCCCTGAGAGAATCAGAAACACTCCACTGTTTGGGCCCAAGACAGCCCCCATTGAGAACTATGCCTATCCTGCTACCACTACTAGTGTGTATTTAGTAGCAGTACCAACTTCACCCGTGTTTTATCAGCAGACGGGTTCTCCTGTTTGCCATTACCAACCCTTATTTAAAAGGCACTTCAAAAATCACCCATTTCCTAAAAGTGCTTATCATTATGTCCCAAGGGCCATGAGCAGAGAGGACTGGGGGAACGAAAAGCTTTCCTAAGCCAACAGGATTTGGTGAAAACTAACAATCCTGCTGGCATGAAGTTAAAGTTCTATTTCCTTTTATAAAAAAATAAAATTAAAGCTCAAATGTTCTATTAAACTCTCATTGCTTATGTATATTATATTAAGGCTTATAAATATACCTGGTAAATTAAATTCGCCCTGGATTGAATTAACACCTGCTATATGAGTTATTTGCTTTTTGTAATCAGTAATCTCAAGGTTTCTTCTCCTTCTCTGGAAACACAATTTAAATATTAACCTAATCTTTAAACTGCTGCTGCTTCTTTCTGACATTTGGAAACCGGTCATCCATGCAAAAAAGGGCAAATATGGATGTATTAATGAAGGGCAGCTTCTTAAAAGTCTTAAAACATGTAACTCAATGAATTGGGAGAAAAATGATAAAAGCAGCTAGAAACTCAGGTCTTTGTGTCACTTTTTAGGGAAAACAATACTGGTCATCCGCCAAGAATACCTCCAATCAGAGCCTGGCTGACACTGATTGCCAGTTTCAAAAGTCTGTTTTGTTTTGTTTTCCATTATCGTCTCTGGAAAAGCCTTGGGAAGCTGTAGTTCATATGAGAGAATTTTAATTAAAAGGAAAAAAAAAACGTAGTAGAGTTTAACTTTGAATCCAGGATGAGAAAGTGTGGTGGTCTGGGCTGGCTTTAGGGAGAAGTTCGGTGCCTCATGTCCTGCTCAGCAGACAGCCCCTGGAGGAGATGAAGCTTTCAAAGTGCTGGTCTTCCGCCTTCTCTTTGACACGCTGTTCCTCTAAGGAGTCCACGAGTTTGTCCCTTTGCTCAATCACTTGCATCATCTCGGTGAGTATTTTTTGTTCCTCATTGCGATCATTCTCATCTTTCTGGCTCTCTGCAGGAAAAAAAGAAAACCGTCAGGCCTCAGGTAAGATTGGACTCTGGAGAGCTCTTGGCATGAACATTCTCGATTGTTATAGACTTGTTCTGCCCTTTCATTTCAATGATGGAGGAAAACAAGGAAACAAATTTAATACCAAAAAACTGCCCTTAAAGCCACAGATTAGAAAGACCGGTGCTTTGTGCAAGGTAGCCAGCTCAGATTTCATCTTGAGGGTATGTTCGTGGCCCAGGGAAATACCATTTGTGAAAAAAAAAAAAAAGCAGTTAATGTGCCTTGCCCCATCAAGTCCCCAAACTTCCTCTCCTGCCTAAAAAAGAAACCAACAAAACAATGACAGGTCTGTTTTTCATAAACATATCTGAACCACAGCAAGGAAATCTGTGAGAGAAGTCTCTTCATGGACAGTGTGTGTCAGTGTCTGCTGTTTCTTTCAGAGATGACAATCCTTTTGTCCTTTGCACTTAATGACAAGTTGCAGCCTTTTGAGCAGACACCACACAGAAGCCAAGTAAGATTTGACTGTCCTGACTGTCCTAGGATCAGGTTTCCAGATGGACTCTGCTCTCTCCTGCAGCCTTTCCGAGTGACAACCTTGTCCCTAATTGGCACGAAGCATCCAATCCCCAGGGGAGACAGGATTGTTAGAGAAGAGAGCAAGTTAAGAAGCAGGTGGTAATGACTTTCTGACACTCAACAGAGGATTTTAAAGCCAGATTTAAAACTTGCCAACTAGATTATTGCCAAGGGAGAAGCCTTTCTAAATTCCTTCAGCCCTTCCCACTTATGCACTCAGGACCAGGAGGAGTCCCATCCCAGGTAGAGAAAGTGCGGCTGTCTCTCATGGGGCTTAGTGCTGGGTCAGGGAGCAGGCAGATGCAATGAGAGGGAAGTAGAGAAGTACTATTCCCTTGTGCCTCATGTTCTATGGGAAGGAGAAGAGACAGAAAGGGCAGAAGGTGAGAGCTCTGTGTCCCCATCTCTCCATTCTGGGACCTAGAAGCTCCACAGGGGGCAGGGAATGTCTTTTGCTGGAACACTGGGGTGGAAGGACTCTTGTCCTGCCCCTCAGTCCACTCTGCTCAGGAGGTGCCACTGTGAATAAACACAGGGCACAGGAAGTGTCTTAGTGTGGCTCCCAGATCTCCACCTGCTATGTGTGGTGTAAGCGGAGTGGTGGAGCAGAGAAGCAACTGCGTCCCCTAAAGTGGCCCTAGGTAGCTGGCCAGTGGGTCTGCCACAGGTTCCCCCAGCAGAGAGAAAAGTGACTTGACAATAGAGACTATGGGAGGCTGTCTGACCACACTGGATGGAGGATATGCCCAGGTGAGGCCCAGTGAGCCAGGGAATGCCACCAAATTCCAGAGCATACCCAGAGAATGGCCAGGCTGTGAGTGACAACACCCCTACAGCTTAACTGCAAGTGCCAGCAAGAGAGCGGCACCCGATGACAGGACACAGCTCTGTGAGGACTTAGAGCACCCCACACAGATGCTTATGACACCAGGGCACAAAGCTGCCTCTCCCTTAATGACAGCACTGACCCTGCAGAGAAACCCAGGAGGAAGGGGAAGCCATGGGAAGACTTAGCATTTCATCCCAGAGAGACTGAGCATTTCCTACAAGGATCGTTTAAAGACTGCATCAGACCTAGTTTATCAGAGAGGGATAAGAGCTCTCATTTCATTTCTTTTGTGGAAGATGAGTCAGCGATGGACAATATCAAGAGTCTACTTTTTGGGGAGGGTATAAGTAAATATCAGAGGAGTGAGAAAATGCCTGACTTTCACTTCTTTTTTAAAAATGTTTTATTTTGAGAGAGGGTCTCACTAAGTTTCTGAGGCTGGCTCAGATTTGCCCTCCTCTTGCTTCTCCTCCTGAGTCGTGGGGATTATGACCTTCATTTCTTTTCTTTTTAAAAAAAATTTTTTTTTAGTTATAGTTGGACACAATGCCTTTATTTTATTTATTTTTATGTGGTGCTGAGGATTGAACCTAGCACCTCACATGTGCTAAGTGAGTGCTCTGCCAACTGAGCCACAACCCCAGCCCCCTCTGACCTTCATTTCTTAGTAAGATAAAGAAAAAGGTATCAAAGGTGGCTAATGAGCCTTTGGCAGTATTTGTTTTACTAGCCTGAAACAGAAAAATCAAAAAATTTTAGCAGATGTATAAATCAGATTCACTCTGGCATGTTAACTTAGTATTTCATGTGTTGATATTCCTTATTTAAGAAACAACATAGAAAAATAAAATAATTCCTCTCAGCTGAGGCTTGACTTGGACATATCTGAGCCCTTGCAGTGTATCATGTCCATTGAGTTTATTTCAACTCCCCCTCCTTCAGGGTAGAATGGTTTCCTCACGGGCAATGCCTTAGCCTGGCCCATGCTGAGGGAGTGTTTACCATCTCTAGTCCCTGGCAGGACAAGACCCACCTTCCTCTGTGCTCCCAAAGCACCTGCTGTGGCTCCTTCTGCATTATCCTGCACTGTAGTGACTGGTCTGGACATTGGCCTCCCCAGTGAGCTCACAAACTCCTAGAGTATGGGGGTGGCTCTCGCCATGTGCCAGGTCCACACGAAGTTCTCAGTACATGTTTGCTAAGTGGGTGGGTGGACACGTGAACAAAGAGGTGAATGAATGACTTTGTTCCTATAGGCATGTGGCATGGGGAAATGCCTCCTTCTCAGCCTAGCTGGATGAAGCCCAATGGGGACTTGCTCTGGGGGGTGTGGGGTGGACACAAGGTGGGGCTGGCTTTGCACTCTCCTCTGCCTCTCAGGCTGCATGGTCGTGCAGGACAGGGAAAGCACTCTACTCTGGGGATTGCAGTGTTCTTGGTGTACTTGATGTCCTTCAAGGGACAAAATGTCTTTAATCAGGGCCCAAAACATATCACCATACTCACCCTCCTTGAACATTTTCTCTCTTAGTTTCTGCTCCAGTCTGCTTTGGTGATCTTCTAATTCCAGTTCTTGGGCCCTGGGTAGGTATGAAAAAAAATGTTCAGGTAGTAAAGACAGGGAATTTGGGTAGAAACACTGACTAAAACACTCATTGACAACAGCTACTACAATTAACCTTATTAAAATGGGGGTCTTTGAATATCTCAGAATTGGAATTCTGGCTGCTGCTGGGATCACCAGAGGTGTTCAGAAGGGTTTAGAGATATGCTGGACCCAAGAGACACAGGGAGTAGCTGAAAGTTATGATAGATTCTCAGGATGCTCTTGGAAGGCATCAGTCCACCCTGTAGGAAGGACAGGAGACAGAACAGTGAAACGGTGCCGAGAAGAGTCCAGGGGAGGAGCGATGACTATTGGGAACTCTGTCTTCTTTGGGTGTAATATGGTTTCAAGAATCACCTCCAACAACTTTCAAGTCTCTGACTGTGGTCAATAAGAAAACCAAAAAAAGTAAGCAGTGAGATATTGGGTCCAGGTGGAGGAGATCAAACTTAGGCAGCTAAAGAAGAGTCGGTGAGGCTTTGGAGTGGCCATGCTAGAGTGCTGGGAACTCAGTCTCCCCACTGCAACAACAGCAAAACCCAGAAGCTGTATCTTGGTGAAGCCAGTTGGGATTTTTCAGTGCCTGGGATCACCCTACTGATAGCAGAGTGGTTGTGAAGGTCCCTACATATGAGAGAGGCTCTAGAGCTCTAGAGCTGCTGCTCTAGAGCTCTAGAGCTGCTGCTCTAGAGCTCTCAGAAAAATTGAGGACCCAGACAGATGTGGCAATGCTAACAGATCCTAGTCAAAGTCATATAATCCCTAGAGACTATAGAGAAAGAAGAATTGAGGGTTCTCAGTTCGCTTTTAAGCTCAGCCTGTTCAGCAAACACGGGTTCTCAGTTTCTCGGAGCCTTGCAACTTTCTCCACCTTGACACTATTGACATTGTAGGATGGATAATTCTTTATTGGTAGGGGGATAGGCTGTCTTGTGCCTTGTGGGGTGTTTAGCATCCTTGTCGTCTACTCACATGGTATCAGTAACAACCCCCAGCAGTGACAACCAAAAATGTGTCTAGACATGGCCTCTGGAGCTATATCACCCCGGGGTTGAGATCCCAGGGTCAAGGATAAAAGCCTTCCCCCTAAGGAGTAAACAAGTCCACTGCCTTTTTTGATCAGGTAGATAAATATGTCTAATGCTGGGGTTTGGTTTGTATAATGGGTTGAATGGGGGACCCCCCCCCCCGGCAAAGATGTATTCATATCCTGAACCCTGGAAGCTCTGAATGTGCACTTGTGTGACACACGGTCTTTGCAGATGTACTTAAAATGAGTACCCTCTGGATTATCCCAGTGAGTCCCAAACCCAAGAACAAGTCTTCTTATAAGCGGCAGAAGAGAAGACCCAGACACACCAAGAAGGCCTTGTAAAGACAGAAACAGATAGTGTGGAGGTGTAGCCACAGGCTAGGAATGCCTGGAGCTGCAAGAGGTGAGAAAGGCAAGGAAGAGTTCTCTCCTAGAGGCTTTGGAGGGAACATGGCCCCATCAATGCCTCCATTTGGACTTCTGGCTTCCAGAACTGTGAGAAAATAAGTTTCTATTGTTGTCAGCCCTCTGCTTTGTGAGAATGTACTACTGTGGCCCTAATAAACTCATCTGGGCTCTCGTACTTGGCCACACTAGCCATTGATAGAAGGTGATACTTGATGTTCCATCCATTGACTCTATTGTTTATTTCTCACCTGGTTCAGAACTCAGGCAGGGAAGAGTGGTAGTGTTTATTAGGCCCCCCCAAAAGTCTCCCTGGTGACCTCCCAGGGTAGAAGTAAAAATGAAACCAGATGGCACAGATGAAAGCTCCCATGCCACTTGTGGTGCTCCAGCACAGGTGTGTGACAGCTCTTTTAACCTAGGCATGGGTGACAGGGATGGAGGGAATGGCCTCCAGCTCCTTCCTGGAGGAAGAAATCTATTTCAGCCATAGGACACCACGGGGAGAACAGACAACGGAAGATTCTTTACACTAATGTCAGCATGATATGCAAGACATAAAATATCAATTTGCCTCAATCACTACTCTTTATGCACAAAGAGGAAAAAATCCCGGGACTTCCACCGAGGAGGGTGAGCCACCCCCCAGCCCTCTGCTTTTCGGTCTCGCTGTTATCAATGTTGCCTTACTTACATGATCAGCAGCTCCGACTCATATCGCATTAATTTATTCTTCTCCAGAACCAGCTTAAACCATTCCTGCAAAAGCTGTGCTTCATCCTGTGTCCCTGAATCTGCTTAAGAAATCAATGGCAAATGGGTTAGATTGGCGTTTCTCTCCCCATGAGCAAACTGCTTTGGAGCCACTTTAGCGGGCCATGTTTGTAGCAAGAAGGGCTCTGCAGGTAGCAAGCTCCCTGGCACCCTGTTGATGCCTCGAGGTCATGGGCATAACAAATAAAACCCACTTGGGCAGGCTCTGGGGGGAGGTTCTCTTGAACATCTAGGGCATGACCACTTCAGCTTCCAAGGTCATGTTCTTGATAAGGTCTTACTACAAAGGACACTTCTCCTGCCTACTCTCCCATACTCCCTAAAACTGATGTATGTGTGTACATCACACCTCCACTAGAGACTCCTAGTGCCGGTTGCTGCTTCCTCTTCTCTTCTTCCCCCAAATCAACTGCCTTCTGAGTGCCCAGGTGGTGTATGGCTCCCTTCACGAGGCAGGGACACTCACATCACAATTGATTGTTGGAGTGGTAATTGGCATTTTGATTTTTTTTTGTCCGAAGAAAAGCTAATGATGAAAAAAATATTAATTTTGATTCTTATATGGAGAAAATTAGATCCATACATTCTGGCCACTTAGACTATGACCTATGACCTTCTTCAACAGAAGAATAATTAGGTTAGCATTGCTTCTTAGACTCTCAATGTGGGATACTAAATCTTGAGATATTGCAGTGTTAGAAGCTGACCAGGGTTGAGAAGTAGCTTTTTAATCTTGCTCCCTGAAATGATGACACACACTGTATGGCAAAACTCATGGCTATTCTAGGATTTATAATGGAGGGTCCCATCGGCTGAGGGGAAAACAATGCAGATGGAGGGTTTGGGCGTGTTGTTTCACATCTTGGAGCCTCTGCTTCTCCCTTAGCTAAACTGGAATAATAAGATGAACGTGTAATTTAATAATAATGAGCTGCTATTTATCCTTACTGGCAGCATCTCATTCAACCCTCATGATGAACTCAGCAGTGGAGACTCTCAGCATCACCATTTGGATAGCCAAAGAAACAGAGATTCAGACGACTCAGGCAAGTTGCCCAAGTTCATAGTCAGTAGGTGACAGAGCTAGGTCTTGTACACACAAATGAATCTTAACCTAAGCTCAGGCTTTTCACTGCTATGTATGTCCCTGTCTCCTTCCCCCGAAGTCATGTGCCCCTAGCACACTGCCCTGCCCCCAGCAAGCAATTCATGAAAAATAGTTCTCTTTTCTCCTTGTCTTTTTGACCACATTCTTACTGATAAGGACACTGGGGCCCCAAGAGATTTATATGCCATACGCGAAGCCCCCAAATATTCATTTTATGGACAAACTGGAGCTAGGATGCAAAACTTGATTTCTGGTCTGTCCATCCATCCATCCATCCATCCATCCATCCACCCACCCCTCCATCCATCTACACCTGTTTGTCAGGTATCTTCTATATGTCAGGTTCTGTCTTGAGGACTGGGGATTCAGTGATATGCTACATGTTACAAGAAGTTTGGAGCCACTAAGGCATAATGCCTACCAAAAAATACTTGTTAGACAATCTTTTGGATCAGATGACCTCAAAGAACTAGAATAAAGTAGAATATTAGGAAACAGTCACAACCAAGCATCAAAAGGCATTCTGAACATAGAGGCAGGGCCATCCTAGTCAGGGGATGGGCTGGGGTCTCAACTGGCATTACTTTGGGGAGGAAATAATGAGGATGGAAGAGAGCATTTTCAAGAAGAGGGAACAGCCTGGGGAAGGACAAGAGGGAAAGAAAAGAAGATGGTGGAGATGTGGATCGGGGAGGGTAAGACAGTTTTATGGTGGTCTGTAGTACACCAAGGTACACTGAAGGTGGTGGAGTACAAGAATGCTGTGTGGAGCTTTATCCAGGAAGGGTTCAAGGGGAGAAAGAGAGAGGAGGGAGGGAAATACGATGTTATTCTTTCTTAAGTATCTTGAGTGAATGAACAAAATTAGACACATACTGAATACCAATATCTCCTGGGCAATCATTGTGGTGCTTGGAGATAAGAATGAATAAATATTGGATCCAGCTCTTTGGAAAATGGAGAGCTTTCAGTTCATGGAGAAAACTAACACTACATATCCAAATAGATGTCACCTGCTCCTTGCTATGGGAACACAGGGGGAAGTGGTGTCTTGTATGGAAGAAGTGAGAGAAGGCTTCAGAGAGGACATAGCCAGTAGGCTCAGTCTAAATGAGTAAGAATTTACCAGAGAAAGAAGAAGGTGGAGAACAGGGCATTCAAGGGCAGTGTCAATCAAAGAATGAAGTGCACAAAGCAGAGATCATATATAACCTAAAAGTTAAGAGCATATACTTTTAGACTCAGATGTGGGGTCAAACTTTTATTCTCCTACCTACCACTGTGTGGACTTGAGTACTTATTATAGCCTCCCTGAGTCTCAGTTTGTGAAGCTGCAGCAGGATTATGCACACAAAGCCCTTGACCCAGTCCTGGCATGTACAATAAGCTCAATAAATGGCAACAGAAATTATTCAATCATAAAATGCACATAGTAAAACCCTCAGGTTCAGGTGGTCCAGCCATGGAGCCGATATCTATTTCCTTCTACCCACTTCCTGGAAGGTGATCACTTCATTGTCTACTATGGTTCTCCATATGACAAGGGAGTTCCAGGCTATTCAGGGAGCTCACTGCATGACTATGTAGGTGAGTACTGAAAGCTTCCTTCCACTGGCCTTTAATGGGTTGGCTCCTAGTTACTGATACCAGTTTTTCCATTTGGAGAACTGTACAGACACATAACTACATATTTTACATGAAAGACCTTCAGTTATTTGAACACAGGTTTCACAATTCACTGAAGTTGGCTTTGTTTCATAGCTGGTACCTCTGGATTATTATTTTGTCATTTGAGGATAGCCCACATAATTTTCCTTCTAATTTTGCAGGACATATCTTTTAAACGTGTGTGTGTGTGAGTGTGTATTTTAGTTGTTGATGGACCTTCATTTTATTCATTTATTTATTTATTGGGAATACCTTCATTTTTTAAAAAATTCTATATAGAAAATGAAATAACATTTGCTTCTCACAGCTTCTCTGTAAATTACCATGGTTCCAAATATTCTCTAAATTTTTTCTAAAGCCTCACAAATTTCTTTAATAATCTTTTCTAGAATTTTGATAAGGAACAGAGTTCATTTTTTTTGACATGAAAAGTGGAAAATGTACTTATCTCTAGTCTTTTGGTTTTGGGATTCTCTATAATTTTGAAAATCTTAGGCTACATCTGTAATTTATTTCCATAGCAGGAGCTAAACTTGGTTTATCCAGAAAATTCTAATTGAACAATACTACATCTAGACACTTGTCTACATGAACCACCATTTACCTGGGCTTGGGGACCCAAATTCACAGGTCTCCGGTTTCATCATCTATCCAGATTCAATTCCTTCTTCTAGATATTTGTTTAATGTTTCTAGATTAAGAACCATTTTCTTTGACAGAGAAAACAGAAAAGCTGAGAAGTGAAAATTCTGCCTTTTCTCATCGTCTAACATGATACCATCTGCCACAAGCCTGGGCCTATGCTTTTCTCCTTATGCTCAATCCAAAAGAAACAGCTTTAAAGGACTATTTTACCATCTTTAGAGTACTTTTTGTTGTTATTTTTCACATTCAGCCTCTTTGCGGCATTATACCTACCAGTTCTAGCCAGACTTTTTATCCTGGATTACACAGTCCCCTTTTCAATCCTATGCATCCTTCTAAAATCTGGTGCATTAGAAAGTGCCCTGTACTGCTCACCGACTTCCATTGACACTGTACTGAACAAACCCAGGTTGAGTCGAATTGCTCAAATTAATTTTCCTTTATCAATAGAATAGTTTGCAATTTTATTGGCTGTACTTCATTTTTTAGCGTTTTCTTTTCTTCAGTAGTCAAAATCACCGAGAGATCTTTGGACATGGAATCCTGTGCAGGTCTCCAGGGAATCTGCCTTCCCAAAGCACTGGATATGGGAGGGTCTTGCTCTTAATTCCAACAAAGCACAGAACCATCCCTCCATGATTTCCTTCAACTCATTGTCACCCATCGGGTTCTGTCTGTCCGTCCTTGTGAGTTGCCGCAGTCCGGCTGCAGCAAACTAACCAGGGGGTGACAAACAACTTGTGTACATTGATACAGCAGGAGTGGGAGCCATTTATTGTAGGACAGGAGGGGTATATATCCATTCCACACAGCTTATCTTAATTAACATAAACTAGATACAGCAGTCAACCAATAAGAAATCTCCACACTTAATGGCTTGCTGGTGTTACTTTACAAACCACTCCCTCTGGCAAAATGCCAGGCGCCATCTTGACTTGTTTACAGACCCTAACAGTGAGTCCTGATGAAGTCTAGATAGCATTGCCTCTCGCTAGAGATACAGTAGAGTGAGGAGGCCAATGGGCTTTGAGATCAGTCAGGCCTGGTCCTGCCACTTAGGAATGTGTGACATTGGCAAAGAACCTCATGCCTCTTGGCCTTGGTCTCCCCAGGTGGAAAATGAGCATATTGATAGTACTATCTCATACTTTGGTTAGGAGTATTAAATGACATAATATATGCAAAATGTTTAGCATAGTGCTGCTTGGCACACAGTAAACCTTCAGGCAATTGTGCCATTGTTATTACCACGTTGTTATTTCTTCCAGTTTTGTAGTTCCATAAGAATTACTTTCTGTTCACCTTTAAAACTCAGCTAGAAGGCAGTCCTTTATTTGGTTATATATGGCTAAACCTTGTCTGTGACAACTTGAGGTTAACAAAAAAAAAAATCTTAAATAATAAGCTGGGACAGTGGTGCATGCCTATAATCCCAGTGACTCAGGAGGCTGAGGCAGGAGGATTGCAAGTTTGAGGCAGCCTTAGCAACCCAGCAAGAACCTCAGCAACATAATGAGACTCTGTCTCAAAATAAAAAATAAAAAGGCCTGGGGATGTAGCTCAGTGGTAAAGCACGCAGGGTTCGATCTCTAGTACCCA